CAAATATTGTAACAATACTATCACATCCCCTACATCTCTCTGACTAAACATAGCTATAGGTACTTCATTTATAGAATTCAGTTCCTAGCCCCCTGGTTATTCTCATTGCTTTTTCTGGAAGCACTCCCAATTTTTCTAAATCTTTTTTACAGTGTGGCATCTAGAACTGAAACCAATACCAAACTGTATACGCAGATTTATCTTTGCATACTCAAGATTTTTGATACTTTGATATGTCATTAAGTTTATTATGGAGTATAGATCAACATGAAGCATAGTTTTCAATATTTCTGTGACAATATTAATTACCTGCAATTGCTATTGTTTTATTTGCCATATTTGTATAAGTTCTAGTTTATACCACACACACATTTTTGTTATACAAAAACTTTGTTCTAATCTGGTTACACTTAGCCAGATAAATAAGAAAGATAAATAACTGTAGGAAGAAAACATATAAATTACTTTTCTTCCTTCCATTTGAGAATTATTCTATTAAATTTCATATAAGTATACTTTAAAACAATTAGATGATAAATACAGCCCAATGAAATGTAATTAACATTCAAACAAAATGGTTACTGATAAATAAATAAAGGTAGAATGTGATTCCATACAAAATCATTCATTTATAAAAAACATGTATTCTTTTTACCCCAGTTACTGCTTCAGTTATATTTTATTGGAATTAGTGGAGAAAAAAACAAGTCTATGAACAATGCCCTCAAATTTAGCTTAGTTGTATAAAATTTGCTAATTTGTTTCTATTTAATGCAAGAAGCTACAGATGAATAGCATCATGTAAGTTCAAACTGTTTCCAATCCAAAATGGTCAATCCAAGAGTAAATGTCCAATTTTAAAGAGCTTTGTGTGCAAACCAGCTATGTTAAGTTTAAAATCCTTCCAAAATCATCAAACAGCTGTTTTGTTGTCAAATAGATGGTTCACACATTAAATAATGTTTGAATTAAAAATGAAATGGTTCAAAATTTTAAAGGGTTCAAATTCAGTAATTTCACATACCTCTACAGAGGGCTATCCCCCCCCCCGCCATTTTCAGCAAGAAAAACTACAAAAGAGGTGGCAAAATGTATAGTATTTAATTCATTGAACTGAATTTAAACTCAAGTGCAAAAATGTATGGAGGATATATTTTTACAAAATTTGAATGTTTATCTATAAGCTATATTTGTAGGTTGCTTGAAGTCAAAAGTATCATTAAACTATATGTACCAATAATAACTCCACCCCCCCCCCCCAAAAAAAAAAACAGATTACCCATAACAATAAGGAAACTTCAATCCCAAAAGAGATCACTCTGGAGGAACAACAAATCTGGTCACATTGCCAACTTGAAAAGCTGATAAAAAAATTTATGCCACCAGATAAAAACTGAATGCACCAATTATCACATTAAACAAGAGGAAACCTTTCTACGCACCAATTCCACCTGCGCTTTTTACAATTTTGTAAACAACAAACTAAAAGACTCAAGGTCCATCCCAGCCCTGATAGGACCTAATGGTAAAGACTGCAACGACGACACCATTAAAGCCAACCTCTTTAACACATTCTTTGGCTCAGTATTTGTAAACAGCAATGGATCATGCCCAGTATTGATTTTACAGAAGACAATGTTGAAAAAGATCTAAAACCATCTCTATCTATTGGACCAGACTGAATATGTGCCTACTTCTTAAAAAAACTATCCACTTCCATAGCAGAATCTCTAAGCATAATCTTTGAAAAATCTTTCAGGACCAGCTCCTTGCCAAACCTATGGTCACAAGCCACAGTCATCCCCATCTTCCAAAAGGGAGACCCCAGCCTAGTTCAAAATTACAGACCAATCTCCTTATGCTGCATCACCTGTAAAGTCATGGAATCAATTATTAACCAATCCATTATCCTCCACTTAGAGACAAAGAACCTACTCTCCAATAAACAATTTGGTTTCAGGAAAAAACTATCCTGTAATCTGCAACTCTTACACTGAAAAAACATATGGACTACACAACTCGATCAGGGCAAAACAATAGATGCAATCTACATAGACTTCTGTAAAACCTTTGATTCAGTGGTACATGACAAACTACTCCTAAAACTAAAATCTTATGGTATCTTTGGACAACTGCATAACTTGATAGAAGCATTCATGTGAAACAGACAACAAATGGTCAAAATTGGGAGTGTCGTATCAAATTCTGTACCTGTCAATAGTGGTGTCCCCCAAGGCAGTGTTCTAGGACCAACTCTCTTCATACTCTACATAAATGACTTCTGTGATCATATTAAGAGCAACTGCATTCTCTTCACTGATGATGTAATGTTCAATACCACAGACAATACTGCTACCATTCAAAAAGATCCTGACTATGTATCAGAATGGTCAAAAAAATGGCAACTTCAAATCTCAACAAATAAATGCTCTGTCTTACATACTGGCAAAAAAAATCAGAAAATAAAATACAAGCTGAATAGTCAAGACCTTGCTGATGATCTGTAAAGGACCTTGGAATACTCATCTCTAATGATCTAAGTGCTAAAGCCCACTGTAACTACATAGCCAAAAAGGCATTAAGAGTTAACCTAATCCTATGTAGCTTTTTCTCTGGTAATATCATACTACTACTAGGGCATACAAAACATTTGCTAGACCAATACTCCAATACAGCTCATCAGTCTGGAACCTACATTACGTATCTGATATTAGCACAGTTGAGAAAGTCCAGAAATATTTTACAAGAAGAGTTCTCCACTCCTCTACTCCTTGTAGAATACCTTATGCCACCAGCCTTGAAATTCTAGACCTAGAAAACCTTGAATTACGCTGTCTTCGGTCTGATCTTGTATGGTATATAAAATCATACATTGCAATGACTTACCTGTCAATGAATACTTCAGCTTCAACCATAACAACACAAGAGCACACAATACTCAAGGTTAACTGCACCAAACTTGATTGCAGGAAATATGACTTCAGCAACACAGTGGTCAATGTCTGGAATACTCTACCTGACTCTGTGATTTCTTCCCCCAAAACCTTAACCTTAGACTGTTTACTATTGACCTCACCCCTTTCCTAAGAGGTCTGTAGGAGGGCAAGCATAAGCAAACCAATGTGCCTATCGTCCCTGTCCTATTGTTTCTTTATTTTTCTTATATATACCTTTTTCATGTATTCATAAGTATGTATATACTTATACCTATTATCTTATAAGCAATTGACAAATATAAATAAATAAATAAGCATTGTCAAGATTTATAGAGACAAATGGGAACTGGCGTTTAGTATAGTAGAATTTATTTTATGCAAGTTTTTTGATGGACTGCTTGTCTTTGCTATAACATAGATTTAATTCTAAGAAAACATTTTTAGGGAACAAGAAGGTTCCCTCCCCCTGTACCATTTATTATAGAACATACAATAAATTATACTTATCTATAATTATAGCACATATAAAGAAAATTGTACTGTAGGTCTAAACTTAAAGGAGTTCAGTTATTAAACACAACTAAAAAAGAAAAATGAATCTATTGGTATGAGCAGATTCCCATGACAATCATAGGCACAGATTGGTATTCTCTGGGTTTCTTTAACTATGCTGAAATAGAAGTAGTTTTTGTATATAATCAATACAAAAATGCTTCCTTGATGCTAGAAACTGCAAAGGAAACTGATTGACTAAATCACAGTATGTAGTAGGTATGGTGATCATAAAATGAGAGCAAGGAAATTCAGCATGCTATGCTGGTTCAAAGTGTGATAGCCAGTGGTTCACATAGAAAGCATATACAGATGCAAAAAAAGATGGCCCATTTCAAAACTTTTTTTCTAATACATGCCAGCAACAATTTTGTAAAGTGGTGGTCATATGAACCAAAACAAATCCCTCATACAGCCCTTCTTTTTCAAGCAAATTTTAATAAGTTTGTTCATCTGAGTGGATGGTCCAGAGGAAATGGCTGTCATTTTGAGCATGCACAGTCAAGCCACACTTAGCAGATTAATAATCACCTTGGATCTACAGCACCGCTCCTTCAAAAAAGAATAGAAAGGGAGTTTTTGGAAGCAACCCTCACATGTCATAGCTTGCAATAACAATAGCAGACAAGCAACATCATCACACATAAACTGCATATTTATCAGTCTTTAAGTACACACATACCCAACATACACAATTTGAATATGATGCTCTTCTAATGAATTATTCCAGTTTGAAAAATGTAAACATGTAATGTTAATAAAATTGTGTACATATTTGTACACTATTGAACAGCTGAGGGGGTAGAAGTATAATCAACCTGTGAGAAGCTACTTTTCTTTTTAAAGCTAAGTGAAATGACTTGCTCAGGTAATACACTACTACTACTAATAATAATAATTGTTATTGTTGTTATTGTTGTTATTGTAATGTTTTAGTAATTATATCTTCAACCAAATAATCTTGGGAAGTGTAATTTAGTGAAAATTTGTACATTTTGTTACAGACAACTTTTTCTTTCCCAGACTGGCAGGTTACAAATCCCAGACTTTTCTTGGAGAAAGAATGATTTTATAAACAACAACAATCTATATTATGGATATGACACAATGTATTGAGCCCTCAGGACTTAAAATTGGTTTTTATATACTTAAACACCCATATATTTATCCCCGTGGTAAATAAATATCAAAAAGTTCTGCATGTTTCCCACACTCACCAAGATAGTAATAAATAAATCACAATTCATTATTCCATCAAATGGCTGAAGGAAAATATACATACATCACAGCCACACAACATATAGTCAGAATAAGATCCCAGTGCAGAGAAGAGACTTCCCTTTAGCCATGTATATAAAATTCCATGAAAAGAGGAAAAACCTCTGTCTCATTCTTTGTATTCCCAAATAAGCATAAAATATCCATCAGTAAAACACTAAATATTTAAACAAAAGTTAACAGCAATAATAAACATTCCCAAATCAAGGCAATGTAGAGATCTTAGAAACATACCTCCTTTTGATTGTAAGCATTGCTCCCAAAAGGATAATTACAAACATCAGAAGACCAGCTATAACTCCAGCCATTTTCACCGTATTATCAACCTGTTTTTCTGGTTCCACCATGTTGGAATTCTGTGTAGAAGCTCCTTAAGAAGTTGTAGAAAAGGAGAAAATAAAAGCATTGTTGAAAAATCCCAGGTAAATCAGATTTCAACAACTGCTTAAATGCAACAAAAAGCCAAACCTGTATATGGCCATAATGGAGATGTATCTTTAACCCAAGTATGAGAAAAATAGTTTCTCCATTCCAACAATATGTAGAGATTCATTGATATACAGACTAAATTGCAAACATAATCCCATTTAAATTTATCATGTATTACCACACAGTGTAATTTTGTATTCCATTCTTTTTTATTTTATTTGTTTATTTTATTTATGTATTATTCTTATTGGCCACCCATCTTACCACAGGGTAACTCTTGGAAGTTTACAATCATAAATACCTATCCACATTAAAAAATAAATAAAAGCAACCATTAAAATTCAATAACAAGTAGGGAAGATGGGGCAGGGTAGGAGAAAGTGGGATTTGCTGTTATTCGATCAACCACTTTTTTATGTCTAATGAAGATGTCAGATGTCGGAAAAGTATGTCAAGTAAAAAAAAAAGGATAATCACCACCATTAGTTCAAGTATTTATTTAATATTATTATTTTATTTTATTTTATTATTATCCTACTTTTATCACTTTTACAAATATCTCAATATACCGAACACAGCTTTTATTTTCCTCACAACAACAACGCTGTGAGGTGAACTGGTCTGAGAGAGAATGCCTAGTCCAAGGTCATCCAGCTGGTTAAGACGGACTTGCATTCACAATCTCTCACTTTCTAACCTGGGAAAGCAGAGTGAACTTTCCAGTTCTTTATAAGAAAATTATTATATATCTTACACAAGAGTATTAAGATTAATTGAGAAGACCCTTTGTCTCATATTTCTGGAGCTTTGATGGCTGCATCACCAATAGCATAATACCATTTTAATTGCCAAAGCTTTATAACTGAAAAGTGGGAAGAGCTCAAAGTGCAAATATAGCTGTGCTCATATTTTACAACATTGATAGCTATTCTAAATATGCATCGCTCACTTTCAGTCAGCAAAAATATTTTTGCTCCATTTGCTAAATGAAGCAAACCAGGATAATATGCCTAGCTATGACTTCCTGCCAGAAATTTCAATAACTGTTGTGCTCTGTCCAGTATCCCCAATGACTAGTAGAACAGCATTTTAAGAGCTTATACTTTATGGATTACTGCCTCCAGCATGTAGCAATTAAGGGACCATCTGAATAGGATCTATATCATTCAACTGCTGCAATTGTCCAGAAGCATATTGTAATAGCAGTGGCATTTTTCATGCCCTTAAGGGCTTCCAATAAACCAGATAACACTCAAATGAAATTGGTAAAATTGGATCTTTAATCTCTGGAGGCACTCAAACCAAATCAAGTAAAGCAGGTTGTATTTGGTGAATACAGTTTGCTAAGAATATAGATTGAACACCATCAGAAGATTTTGAAGAGTTTTCAGTTGTCTGGTTACAGTCGAAAAACATTATTCAGTATGTGCATGAAGCTGCATTCCTTATTGCAAGGTACACATAGTCTATATAAAAAATTAGGGGAATAAATATAAGAAGTTGATTCTCAGTGACTACTACATAAACAATTAGTGCAAGATAGATTGTGCATTTCATATCAGAGTACAGTGAAATTCTATCTGTTTTCCCTGCTTGTCTTTCTTGAAAAGTGTGTGTGCATGTCTGTGTTTGTCTATGTCTGAGTGTATTGGTGTATACATGTGCATGTGTGTGTGATTGTTATTGTTGTAGATGATCTAAATAAATGATCAGCTATGGTATTTGTTTATTTATTTATAAGCCACCAGAAGCAAGAGACTCTCAACAAATTAGAATCCCAGCAATTAAATATCAATGCACAAATACTACTGTCTTAAACACCTTAGCCAATCTACAACAAACATTTATTTATTCTGCAAAGAGTTGGATGGGGATATCAAATTCAGAGCAACAGTCAAAATTCCTCCACATCAATAGAATTATTCAGCTCTTTTAATTAATAATATGAAGACTAAGTTGCTATAATATTTTATGCCAATATTTTATTCTACTATAAAGTAGAAAGAGAAGAAAAGGATGACCAGCATCAAGGTGCGTAGACTTAGTGGCAATTGGTAAAGGAGGATTTGGAATGTTTGAAGGACCATGTTAAGGACAGATGATCATAGAGGAAATCTATCTGAGAGTTGACACCAACCTGATGGCACATAATCAATAAAAACATAAATAAAGGAGACTGGTAAGGCTGAGGAACTTAGATAGGTTTTCATATGACTTTCCTAATGACTCATCTTCTAAACTATCTGGGAGGAGTAAAATAATGGCTGGAGTACAGAGTATGATACAAATAGTCCCCAATAATTTCTAAAATTAATTTTCTATTAGCTAAAGTCTTCAATAGTTACTGCCATAGATAAATTAACTAAGATGTTACACATAAATTATCCAAGTTCTTCAGTTAACTGTAGATGTGTATCCTGTCAGATGTCATAATTTATCAACAGCTAAACATTTAAAACTGGAAAAATATTGTGTTTGTCTATAGCATTTATCAATTATATACAAAAATCTGCATCATGGTGTCAATAGAAGGTAGAATTTTAAAACTGTTTGTATTGGAACAATTTTATAATAGACTTTCCATTTTTTAAAAAAGCTACATTTTTAACTGATTCATTTCATTGGGTTTCTATTTTTCCCTTTAGGTCTGAAGCCCTAGCTGTGCACCACTAAAGGTAAAAAGGTAAACAGAAAAAGGTATTTCAGATCATGCAGAGGTGATCATGAAGCTACTGTCAGCAGTGGTTTACCACAACTGCATTTTTTTCCAAGTTCAGACAGCTTTCCTATCTAGCTGCAGAATAATATGGAGAAAAGGCAAATTTCAAAGTACTTTTCCCCCCTACAAAACAAAAGTATTACACAGTCTTGATGTATAGTATAATGCTTTGTTATAACATGGAATATTTTCTGAAATCTAGCAAACAATGTCCCTTTCCTCATGTCAACAATCGTATCACTCCAGAAAAGCTATGTCTTGAGGTGGTAGGGGGAAAGATTAAGAGCCATAAACCTATTTTATAACTGATATTAATAAAACCTCAAAACACACCAGTCTAACATACAAAGCTAACAAGTGATTCTTACAAAAAACTTTCTCCATATTTTATCAAGATGCTGGCTTTACCAGCTTTCTGGAGCTTTCAACCTCTTTCTTTCTTCATCTCTCTCTTTGTCTTTTCAGGACCTGAATACAACTGGCAATTCAGTAGCATTATGTTCAGAAATTAAGCTACAAAAATGTGAAATAAATTTTGTAGGACTTTAGCTGGGAGTCAAGCTATTCTCCAAGCATCTGAGGGCAGGACAAGAAGCAATGGATGAAAATGAATCAAGGAGACAAACAACCTAGAAGTAAAGAGAAATTTCCTGAAAGAATAATTAATCAGTGAAAAAACTTGCTACCAGAAGTTGTGATGCTCCAACATTGGAAGTTTTTAAGAAGAGATTGGACAACCATTTGTCTGAAATAGTATTGGACTTCCTGCCTGAACAAGGGGTTGAACTAGAAGACCCCAAAGGTCCCTTCCAACTCTGTTATTCTATTCTAACTGAACTTTTTGAGAAGATAGCTATTTTACAATGAAGCTTTTTCATGGAAAAAGCAAGTTAATAAAATGCAAAGGGGGTAGCATATGAGTGCATATATGTAAGTATGTGATGTCTGTGTGAATGTGTATGTGAACTCAATTATAAGCCCTGTTTCATCATTTAAAGATTAGGGGTTCATTGATTCTGAGGCACCTAATATTTTCAGCATTGAACAAATACTAACTTTGCCACAAAACTCCCTTATGACGAATACAAGATTTAGAGTTTTCAAAGCCCGATAAAATGAATAATAGTTTGTAAAAAAATTACTAGCTCAGTATATGTGCAGCTCCTCTATTATCAGGAAAATGGTTAGCCACCTCCTCATCAGACAGTTTTAATGAAGACAATTAAAATGCCTACTCTAATGAATTTAGAGATAAACTGAAAGCTGATTAACTAAAGTGAGAACTTTCAGTTGTCAAGATTTTGGTAATCTAATCTTTTTAACGTTCAATAAATTTAATTGTAGAGGACTTTGTGTCAGAATATTGCTTTTTTTATTAGCATTTACCATCCCAGATTTCTTCAGAAACACGGTGAGAAAATTGAGCACAAGATTCTTATACTTTTAATTTCTTAAACTTTTTTAGACTTCAAGCCCAAAGTAATTAATGCTTTAAGTTATATTTTCTAAAAATTATATATCTGGCTATATACAAATTTCATGTCTCATTGATAATGCCTTGGTGCCTACCACTTTATCATGTGAGTTTTCTCATATTAAAAACAAGTTTTTAATAAAACAGTATCTGCATGGACTGCATGCTACTAAGCCTTATCTTTAGTTCTAAATACCTATACTTAGAAATAATTGCAACCAATTCTGAATGCTTCTTAAGTTTGCAGTACAGTTGACAAAAAAATGGGAGGGACAACTAATATGCTAAAAACAGAAATTATGATAACATGATTTCAATAAGTTTATGAAATGGGTTGAAAATAAATTAATACAGATGTGATATTTTTCCTTTAAGGAAAAGAGATCAGATTCATAGGTATAAAATTAGGTATTCTTGCAAGATCCAATCTGGGTCAGTAACCAGTACAAGAGGTTTATACTACTGAGCTTTTGGACTTTTTTCCTTGTGCTGTCAAGCCCAAGCCCAAACCTCTGGTCTCAGTGAATGACCCAGACTGGATTTTGCAACATTATCCTGGAATATGTTCATGAAGGATTCTTGGTTTCTTAATAATACTTGTGAAAAAAAATACTACAATAATATTTAACCGCAGAAGGCTGTGGTGGTGCAGTGGTTACAATGCAGTAGTTGGAGTGCCCGATCGGTTCAAGGTTGACTCAACCTTCCATCTTGTTGGGGACAATATGCTTGCAATACTTGCCATCTT